GTTGGTGTAAATGAATTGGAGAGAAACTCAAACGCATTGGGAATAAAGTTAGCGTGAAATCGTAGAGATTTTTCTGGTAAATTATTCATGTAGCTTGTAGCTGGGACTTTCGACGATCTCGTGAAAGGCTTTCACTCTTCGTCATGTGTGTGAAGCCTGCGCAATATCAAGTTAGATGACCTTACACTTTCTCGTTGACATATTTAATTTATTTGTTTATATCCGTTAGAAGTACGCGCTTAATATATTGAAACGTTTGACATATAGCAAAGGCATGCACAGAGCAACAAAACAATAGTTAATACAGCCAATAAAACAATTATGTATGTACGTTTTAAATTTATTGCCTTAAAAGTTTATACACATTAATATTCATCTCATATATTTTGACTGCTTAGTATTCGCGCTTGAATTTATAGATTCCAGCAATAAATCAAACTTAATTAATGTGGTGTAGCCTTATTTAACGATAAGACGATGGTAGAATAACGGATGCGTTGGAGTTCGGACAGGGGCGGTTGCAGAAAGTGTGTTAATGCGTGCACGTTTTGCGCAACGATGCGCGTACGACACGCGCCACAAGCGATCACTGAGCGCACGCGATACGCGCACCTTGCAGTTATAATTTTCTGTTAAATCACACTTATTAATTGAGAAAGAGTATTGACTCTTAAACTAAATTTCTATAATTTTCCAAAAAGTAGACTTCACAAATGAAGTTTGATTTCTTTTTTTTAAGGTAAGCTTAGTATCCCAAATAGCGATCAATAGTAATAAAATACAAAAATTAATCCACACAAAAAAGAAGGGAAGGTTAAAGAAAGGGGAGAAAAAAAGGAAAAAAAAGGAAAAAAAAAAAAAAAAAAAAGGAGGGGAAAAGGGGGGGAAGGATAGAGGGGAAGTTAATTTATTCATCAATATAAACTATCCATAATGAACTCATTTTCAAAAAAGCAGAGACATGGTTACACCCACCAAAAAAAAAAATGAAAAAGAATTAAAGAAACCCACAACAAACAAAGGTAACAAAGGAACTCCGACAAAGGAGAGCAACAAAAAGAAAGAAGAAAAAAAAAAAAAAAAAAAAAAAAAAAAAAAAAAGAAAAATGGAAAAAAATGTAAATAATGTTGAGACATAGATTATGTGTGCTGGTGAATCGAGGTTTTCTCTCCTAGTACAAAAGTTTTCCGTAAAATATCAGAAAATAAGTTTTTTTACAGAATAATCTAAATCATGGTATATTATGCATATAAAAAAAATTAAAAATACAAATGCATAAAATAGTAAAATTGCTAATTGATAAATGAAAAGCATTATTAGGATTACGAATAATATCTTTGACAACTCCTTACGTTTCTTAACCCTCTTTTGCAATTTATTTCGAGTTTTTATTTAAAATCTTATAGTTCTTGCCGGTTCAAGGGCGTATTGCTTCAAATGTTTGGACAAGACATTACGTGTAAAGTAAATTGCTATAGGTCTTACATTTAAACCTAACTAGACGTTTTTAAATTATTTTGAATAAATATTTACGTGCGTACTACATATTAAAAACTCCTCAACAGATTAAAACGAATTCCACGTTTTGAGAAATTTTCAACAAAGGTGGACCGGACCGTGAGAGACTTTATAATTTACTAGTGGACCCCACAGACGTTGTCCTGCATGATATTTAAAGCGATTAGGATATTAAGCAAAGTATGAAAGTACCGACTGCAGTGCCATCTGCCGGGCTGATTTATGAATCTAAACCATTCCCAGCCCCTTGAACACACACAAAAAATTTCATCAAAATCGGTCCAGTCGTTTGAGAGAAGTTCAGTGACATACACACTCACAGAAGAATTATATATATAAAGATTTGTAAAATTAAAATTAATTTTTTTTATAAAATTGCATTGTATAAAAATATCTTCCATTTTTATACAAATACCTATCCATCAGAAACCTTTGACTTCAGCTAAAAAATATATAGAATACACACTATAACGGTTAATAAAACTGTTATAAACCAAATTAATATTATTAATGTAAATTCCGAGTGACGTTCGTGATCGGAAACCGATATAATTCGATCCAATTCACATGTTTTACAACGACTACCGACTCGACTTTCTATTTGTTTCATGACATTGTAGAAATACTAGCATTAACGAATATATAATTATTAGTTTATTTATTGAGGAAACATGACAAACACATCACAAATACAAGATATCTAAAAAAATATATGCGAGTTATAGAAGTCCTTAAATTTTTTCACAGACAACATTTTTTATAAAGGTATGAGTAACACAACTCAAAATATATAGTATAATTGGCACAAAAATGTAAACACAGCAGTGTAGTACATACACAAAAGACAAAACAATTACAACGATTTTAAAAGGCGCTTGAAAGCAGTCGGGGTGCACGAAAACATATCAACTTTGAAAAAAAAATAGTGTTATAGGAATTATATACATATATAGGAAAATGGTTGTGCCTGTGTAAGTCAAAAATAACAGTTCTATATTTCTATAACAGCGTTCTACAAAGGTTGAATTTATATAGAGTATTCGTATTTCTGATAACATTTCCCTCATATGATTAAATATCGAATTAAATATGAAAATTAGAATGATTTTGTCTATATTGAATCTATGTTCAATATAGACAAAATCACATCGACAATTTAAAACGGTATCGAGTAGTCTATACTGTTCTAAATCGGGTGTAAATTAGAAACATAAAAAAAATAAAAAATAAATAGTCTTATTATATGTGTTTTAATTCATTGCGGAAAAGTAAAAATGTTACTGCAATTTAATGGTTATAGTTTCGCGTTTAAAAATCCGTACCAATCAAACAATCGAAGCAATCAGTTGGAATGATTTCCTTTTCCTCTACTAAATGTTACGCTATCAGGAGATCATAAATGAAAGTATCTTAGTCAAGGCCAAATCTAAAGGCGGGTCGGATGAGGTGTGCCAGTTAGCTTCCCCTTACTCGTCCCTGCATACCTGAGTAGGAGTGCCGAAGCCGGTCAGCCAATGTAGGCTAACCAGTGGCCAGTGTTTGTTAATGAGCGGAGCGGGGTGCCCAGTCACCGGCGAAACCGTCGTACGGTATTAGTATGCGGACGGATCACAACTTTCTACGCATTCTTGGTGGCGGGAGAAATGAGCGCACACGTAATATTTATTCTAAAACATCTAGTCTTGGTTTATATTACTGTGTAATTAAGAAATTTTTAAAATATAAGCTTAAAATGTTTTCTCTTTTACTAAAAGAATATGAAAAATATTATAATATCACTAGAGCGTTACAAACAGTGATTTTGACGTAAGACTAAATAACAACAAATGAATTAATTGATATTATTGAAAATAACAAATGAATTCAGATGTCTTTTTATACATTATTATATATACATATATATGCCCCTTGGTTTAAGCCAATTAAGTTTTCAGACTAATTAACTAAATATTAGTTTAATTTGAAATACTAGTATATATTATTAGATACTTAATTTAGTGTAATTGTGTCCCAGTTACTGTTAGGTCCAATATCTTCTGGTAGCTGGCAGGTGGTTGTCATTGAACTGGATTCCGTCGAAATGCCACTGGTTAAAAAGAATGCTTTTATGTATACGAAATGTTCACTTTCTGATCAAATAAACATTTGATTTGGGAATTATTATCACAGAAGTCAAACGTAGAGTGCTAAATTATTAGACTAAAAATTATTTAAATAAAACTTGTAATAATAATTTAAATAATTTTTTCATTCAAAAAAATTCAATTATTTTATTGACATTCTATCGCTGATGCCTGATGTAACTAAAATGTCGTGTTAATATAATATTGTATATATATTTGTATGTAATTTATTACGTGTAAATGTAATAAATTACATACAAATAAGTTGAGTTTTATTCATAGGTTAAGGGAAAGACTAAAGAAAATCATATACAATTTAATCCGTTTTGACATTATTTTGTCAATTGTTTTAAATATTTAATTAAATAGTGATAAATACTTTGACCTGTTCCAATCACTATTGATTTTTCGCACAACTTTCTCACATTTTTGAAGAAAGTTTCCTTTCGGTTTCAATAGAGCAATATAATTTCATTTATTATAATTAGGTTTCTAATGACGAATTTACTTAATGTAGTAATTATTAATACAATTTTTGAATGGGTGTTAAAACTCATTCTCACCACTTTCTAAGTTTCTAAAAAAATCGCGTCGCGTTATTATAATTACGTCAATATTAAAATTAATATGAACATGCCCGCGATTATATCTGTTTCAAGGCCCATAAATTAATCAATATAAGTAATTAATATGTAATTTTTTAACAGCATTGAATTTAAGTGGCTTTATTATAAATGGAGTTCAATAGGTATGGGCTTAGGACGTACTAAACAGTTTATTATTTAAAAAATTATAGTTCTCCAAGCATGGCAACATGTCTGTTTCAATGAAATTTTTAAGCCAATATGTATACTTAACAATAATTGTTTTGTCAAGAATATAACCCAGGTACCCTGGACTATACACCAAATGCGTTAATAACTAAGCCATGGAACCGATTTTAACTACTGTTCATATTAATTTGAGAAACTAACGCGTTTGCAAGCACTGTTTATATAAGAACTACTGTATTTTTTTAAAATCTAATAAACTAATGTAAAGTTTACAAACGGGTCTGCGACGTTACATGAATTACAATATAGCATTAACAATAATTATGGCTAATAAGTAATATTATGTTAACTTAATTTTCTACAAAAACATTAGCCTAAATTAAGGTAATATTCATTAACAGTCTTAGTGTTCTATAATGTTTTGATACTATGTTCGTGTGTCCGAGATACCGCACCGCACTACACTACACTAGTTTTAGTAACTCAAAAGGTTTAGTTCTCTTTAGGCGTTTCCTGTTGTATTAAGAAGTTAGATGGCCCAGCATTCACATTATTCATAAATTATATTTCTTTTTCCAGGTTGCAATGGCTGGCGACTTCATCCTCGCTGTGGCGTCGATGATGATAGCTCGCCTGCGCAGTGATGAAGTTACGTTGGTGCTCAGCCAGGTATAACATAAGTAACAGTATATATAGAACACACCCTAAGTATAACTTCATATAAACTTCGAAATTTGAATTATTATAATAATCTGTGAAGTAAGAATTTGAAAAACGAACGATAGGCGTTTGTCTGTGATAGCCATAGATTCTAGAAAAAAAATTTGACCAATCCGTCGGGTCAGATGCAACTATCGGAAAATTAAATGTGGCAAAATAGTGTTGAGAACATCTTCTCGCTTATTATATTGTTTATGATTTAATGTGTGATTATTAGTAAGAACTTATGCTAAAATTCTATTGCAATATATCTTATATCTCACAAGTAGCTGTTGTTCGAGGGCTACCATAATTAAAGACATAAATAAAATATTTGATTAACTTCAGCTAAGAACATTCATACGAAATGGATATAAAAAATCCTTGTAAATGTCATTCTTACGATGAAATCGCGGGCTTCAGTTAGTTCTGATAATTTTAGAGTTATGACTCTTCTATGCAAATGAGTCTTCACACTCGAGTGACTATTTGGAATGGTGGAAAATAAACATTTGTACTTATATCATTTTAGGAATCGGGCACTTAAAATACTAGTGTAACACGCGATTTTGCATGAAACAATACATAGTTTTTGTTTATATCTAATTTATATATTTTATTAGCGAGCCTACTCAAGGATAATGTAGTATTAAATGTTGAAAGAATAGTTCGGATTAATACCTCCAGCTGAGTTTATCATCGAGGCAGAATACGAAATTACACCCGTATAACCGTGTACCTCCGTCGTCCCACAACAGAGTGTTTTTTAAGGCAAATTCTGTCGTGCACCACAATGTGGAACCAGCTGCCCATCGAGGTATTACCAAACCAATACGACCTTCAAGAAAAGAGCAATTTGTGGCCTTTTAGGACTTACCAACTCGCGAGGCCTCTGGCATTAAGAGCGTTGTAAATAAACATCGGTCCAGTAGTTTTTGAGTTTATCCGTAACAACAGATGTAAAATATTATAATACTTTTAAAGAACATTTTCCCCTTAATTTGTTAAAACTTGTCAGTCGTATTACATTATTTTATCTCCATCACTGATTCCTGTCCCTTTTAACCAAATCGTAAACTTATTTGGATAGAAAGAGACAAAATATTTTTTTTTCATCAAAAATCAAAGTTAAAAAAAAGTAAAAAATTGTTTCATTACCAACCGTTTACAGTACAGTAAAGAAACGTAAAAGGCTTTATTTATTAAATTATTTGTAGCCCAACAGGAAGTTTAAACAAAATAATATTTATACAATACATAGCCACATTTATACAAACGGAATACACATTTACAAATTAGTTTAATTTACAATTTAGTTTGGCATTTTTGCTTACAGAAAAAATAAAAAAAGGAATCATGAAGATATTGTGAGATTAACAGATTCATTAAAAATTGTTGTACTAGTTTTATCCGCTAGATATGTTGAATATTTATTTCTTATATTCCAGGTGGTGACTGACTTAGTTCAAGGTGAATTCATGCAGCTCGGCAGCAAAGAAACAGAAAACGAGAGATTCTCACACTACCTCACCAAGAATTACAGAAAAACGGCATCGCTCATCGCCAACTCGGTCAAAGCGGTAAGTTAAACTAATTGTAAATAACATTGTTTTTATGGTTTCGATATTTTTTTTACATAATAAAATTGTCAGACTGCGCTCTTTTATCTAAAGTACTCTTTTGTCTCTTTCTGTCACATTGTGTTTACGCTGTCAATACAAGTGACAGATGCGTACTTTAGATAAAACGGTGCAATTATATTTATTTTTATGAATAAGACAGTAAGAATATTCTCTAGGCCGATACGGCGGCTTATCTCTATTGAGTACTAAACTCACTCCCCATAATTCTTAAGCGACACGATTTTTTTTTAAATTGTATAGCTAGACATTATAACTTATATTGTATAATATTTGTGATAAGAGCCCTCTAGTGGCGTGTTTATAGGTATCAGTGTCGACTAAAGCGCCATCTAATTAGTTCGGGAATAAGAAAACGTCTCTGTGTATATTTTAAAAGACTACACATAGTTCTTTCTATGAATAAAAGAGATATTAAATGCGCTTTTTGTTGAATTGACAGCTCGTATTAAACTTCTTGTATCTTGAATATAGAAATGGCTTTAGTGGTGCATTTGACGTTATTGAAAAAACTAAACTGTTAAAAAACTGCACCATGCTAGAGTTTGTGCGGAAAGAAATTTGAGGTCGCAATAGTGCAAAATTACCTTTTGGCTAGGTTGGGTCATACGGGTTACGTTATTATAGCAGTAAAAGATTACTGTATGAAAGTAAATGTTAAAAAATCTAAAGTATGTAATTTTTGTGAATCAATGACATGACTCTTATGAACTGTTAGTGGGTCTTCATACAGCAAAATATTAATCGCAGGTGGCGCTACTGAGCGGCGCGGACGAAAGCACATGCGAGCTTGCGTTCCAATATGGACGTAATGTGGGTCTCTCTTTTCAACTGGTTGATGATTTACTGGACTTCGTGTCTTCAGCGCAAGCAATGGGAAAGCCCACTGCCACTGACCTTAAACTTGGCTTAGCCACTGCGCCGGTGCTTTTCGCGTGTGAAAAGGTTTGTTTTTTTTATCTTGCAGCCTCAGTTTTCCTTTTAAATATGGGTTTATATGTTCTCAATAGTTAACTTACAGATTTTTGTTAAATTTTTTATTGTAAACTTAAATCCTTCCACAGTACCCCGAACTGAATCCAATGATAATGAGGCGGTTCCAAGAGGCCGGAGACGTTGAGAAAGCCTTCGAACTGGTCCACAAATCGCGTGGTCTCGAACAGACCCGCTTCCTCGCTCGCAAACACGGCTTAGAGGCCGCACGTTTAGCCTCGGAACTCGCGGACTCGCCCTACCAAAAAGGCCTAGTTGTTACCACCGACCTCGTGCTTAATAGGATCAAATAATGGGACTTAAAGATAAGTGTAGTATAGGGAACTTGGTAAAGATGCCCGAGGAACATTTGTATAAATGTACCGATACCTAGGCCGGCAACACACTCGTGAGTGAGTTAGCTTCTGTTTCATGGAAAAGTGATGATTTTTTTTTAACTATAAGCTATAAGCTTTATTGTGTTATGAACTGTAGTTTAAAAATAGGGTTTTATTTAAAGGATTATCACCGTTAATATGAATGCCTAAAAAAATATCTACGTTGCTATAGTTACGGTATTGTAAGGTATCTTCAAATATTAATTTCAATCTGTATTATTCCTCGGGCGACTTTACAGAACCATAGAAATATGTTATTTAGAAAGGCATCCACAGTTCTCTTGAAGACGGAACTTAAAGACCTGATAAGATCGATTCGATTTAAGATCAGTTTTTAATTGCGACACGTTTGTTACCTTGGTCTGAAGTCTATCACTGACATCGCTAGACTCCTTTACCTTTGTTCAGTAACATTTTACCTTTTTAGTTAAAGGTTCAAATGAAAAGAATTCTGGATACCTTTTTTGTGAAGGTGACGAGAAATTATTGATAATAGATTATATTCGAGAATGTGTGATTGATGATTGAATGTGTATCAATATATCGAGTGTGTGACAGTATATGATTATTTCGATTTGCGCCATCTAGTATCGAATTCACGCTTCAAACCACAGATTATACAAAGTTTTATTACATTGCTTTCGGAAACATAGACTATCCTTTCTGTGACCTGATTTATGTTAAGTTTTCTCTTGTAAAATTCAAATCGCTGAGGCGTATTTATAAAGATTAATTGATGTGTATAACACTGCCCCGAGTGCTTACAATTGAGGCTTGTTTGTCGCCAAATATCGCTATAATCATTGTATGATGCTCAACTTTTCTTATCATTTGCGGAATAGGCTATTTTAGTTAACTTTGATGTATATAGATATATTTAGTACTATTTCTGACGTGCAATGACATTTGAACTCTTACATCACAAAATTGTTTTCTCGGTTTTTTCTGTATACTGGGAATGATTGGAGTTACCCATACGTATCTTCAGAACCGATTACCTCAATTTCTTTATATACACGTAAATAAGAGGCGTATATGTATTACTTTTAGTATTACTGTTTTATTTTTGCACAATTAAGAGTTTTAGTACAGTTAAATTTGATATTTTGTAAATAATGTATGAAATAACGTTGATATTACGAATTTACGATTGTCGTAAAAGTGCACGTAGCACATATACTTAACAAAAATACATATAGTCATAATGTTATATGTTTGGAGCTCGACGACCGATATCATCGCATATTTTATCGCTTTAATTTATACGTCCATATGATATTTCTTATTGTAGCGATATTGTATGTAATCGCTGAGGTCGTTGTGTCATGGGGTGTTGTATACATATATAAAGGGAGACGATGAATTTTATTTATATTATGTATGTAGTCATGTATGTAGCTCATATTGTTTGTAAATACTTGATGTGTAAAGTGCTAAATCATGAATAATTTTATAAATAATAGTTACAGTCACATTGTTTTATTTATAATATTCATTGATTATATTTTGCTTAATGAAACCTTTAAGCTAAAGGGGCTTTAGCTTATATCTGATACTACGAGTAACTTCTCAAATTGGATAAGTTCATTTCATTTACCAAGTAACCAAAAGTATTTTAAAAAAAATTTAATCAGTGGCACTACAACCTTTTTTTACGTCTGGGCCTCAGATTTCTGTATCTGTTTCATGATCATTTGTCTGTCAGATCAGCTTCCTGTGCCTGACACACGCCGTCGACTTTTTGAGTCTAAGGCAAGCGGATTTCCTCACGATGCTTTCCTTCACCGTTCGAGCGAATGTTAAATGTGCACATAGACAGAAAGTCCGTTGGTGCACAGCCGGGGTTAGAACCTACGACCACACGGATGAGAGTCGCACGCTGAAGCCACTAGGCCAACAATGCTCACTAAGCAAATTAAGTATAGTGAAAACTATATAGAGTAGCAGATAATGAAGTCGACTGATTTCGACATTTTAGGGAGTTATTGAAATTGAAAACTTTAGTATCGTTAGTTACTAGTGTAGTAATAATACTTGGTGTTCTGGGTTCAGGCGGAACAATTATTGTTTTGTGTTGGTAAAACTAGAAGACTAAAGACCTTGAAAAGTTACTTATTTAGGCAAAACTGCATTGGACTGTTTAATTCCAAACAATATATACATACATTTGTTTGTAAAGGACATTTCACATAATCCAACGTTGTATATACATATTCCGAAAAAAAAAACTATATGCCGATGCAGCGGCTAAATGTCACAAAAATAAATTTAATTAGACGTCACTTTTTTGTTCGCAACGAGGGATAGTGGCGGCGACGGCTCAGCTGAATCTCCGGCACATAAGAATAGAACAATATTATAAGTAAGTAATTACTAAACGTCGCGAACAGATACTATACAATGAAGTTAGTTGGTAAATTCAGTTGGTCTTTCAAAAACTGTAGAAAGCAGCATTAGCCTAACTATAGCTTAACCGTTAAGTGTTCGAGTCTCAACCGCACCCTAGCTATATTAAAAGGCCGGCAATGCACTTGCGAGCCGTCTGGCAATTTGACTTACCATGGGCGCCGGAATCACTTAACATCAGATGAGCATCCTACCCGTTTGCTCCCTGTTACTTAAAAATATAAGAAACATTATTTTCTATATATCTAATTATACAGGATATCGACTTTATACATTTATCGCAGTACGAAGTATTCACTTGGAAGTACTAGTACATTGAGTACAATGTATCGTGCTTGCGGATATTGATCGCCTCGTGACAGGTACGGCGCGGCCGGTGCTTCCGAAAAAATACAATATATAAAAAACCCTTCAGTCAAACCTACAATGTTCTTTATAGGTCATGTGTTAATATCATTCTAATTCAGTTTCGCATCGTTCTACTGTAAATACAAAAGTAACATTGTTACGTTAACGAAGTAAACAATACAAATTGGCATTTATATAAGCCCTTAATATACTCGTATCGTATTTATCAATACGGTGTTAAATGTATCAAATAACTATTAATATATGTGCCCTCAACATCTCCTTAAAAAGGAGCCACAATATTTTATGTTGAATATTATTGTGTTTTAAATACGCCTGCACCAAACTGCTTTCGTTCGTAACGCTGTCGTAACTAATGATAATTATTAAATTCATAAATAGACTAGTGTTAAATCTATCAAATAACTATTGATATAGTTGCCCTCAACATTTTCTTTTAAAATATATATCTAATAATATTCAACAAAAACTATTCGTTTTTGTTGAATATTTTTGTGTTTTAAAAACGCCTGCACATATTAATTTGTTGGTAATTAATTAATAATTGATTTCGTTTTAACAGATTGTGTAGCCTAATATATTTCTATTCGTCAAAGAATTTTTGTAAGGATACATCATTTATATCGCTCAGAAAATTTGTTACTAAAAGTATATTTAATGACAATATACAGGAATATTCATAAACGATATCATGTATACATTAAATATTGTTCCGTTTGAAGATTTTGCAAGTCTCAATCCTTACATGCAATGCGTGGGTTCATAAGATATTCTATTTACATTCAGGGTTATTTGGATATTATTATGTTCACCGACGGATTGAACTTCAGTTAGCTATGCAATTGATAAAGTAAGTAGGTAGTATTTTGAGTCTCCCTTCATGAAGATTTTGAATGTGTTCTGTTATTGGAATTAGTAAAACTTGTTTAATTTAACAGTAAAATAAACTTTATTTACCAATTCTTAAAAGACCGACAACGCACTCGCGTGCCCTCTGGCATGGTGAGTCTCATGCCCGTTTGCCCCTGTTCTATATTATAACATAAAGTACCGAAACTTATCATCGAGTTCACACCATAGATTTTTGGGTCTAAGACAGGTCACCTCACGATGTTTTCCTTCACCATAGAAGCTAGTGTTAAATACGAACTTTACGCAAGAAAAATTGGTGCACAGCCGTGATTTCAATGCAATTTCAATTATAAAACAGGTTAAAAAGAATAAAAACATTCGAAAGAAAACTAACAATGGAAACATTTCCTTAAGCGTGCAACTTTGAATTTATACAAACGTAAGGTCATTTCAGAAGCAAAGTTGGCAGTTGTAAACGGATAGCTACAGCCTACATTCGTTTTAATGAAATAAATAGTAACTTTATATAAAATTTTATTGCTTCGTAATACACATTTGTGCTATAAATGTTCAATGTCCCATATCAACGATTAAGAAGGTAGGTAAAATTCAAAATTAGAATAGTGATGAGTTTTGCGATAAATTTTTTAAAATTTGTTTGGAGTAAATTTCGTAGAATACTGTATGTGTATTGTATTCTAAGGCGACTTAGTGGTCCCTCGTCTGGATCAGTGCGGCTACGAGCGTTTCAGAGACGACGTGCCGAACAAACTCGGCTAGAAGGGGAACGGCTAGCTCGCGAGCGTCGACAGCAGCTTAAACGTGAAAAGTACGAAAGTCAGAAACAGGTTAGTTTGAATCTTTAATAATATAGATAGAACAGAGATTAAATCAGTCAGTCTAAATTCCACTGGAACTCTTCGCAGCATATATGTAAATTTATACATCTGTGGTTCAGTGAAATAAACAAGATTAACAAAAGTTATAAATTTATCGGACAGTATTTAAATGAATTAAAAAGACAATACACTCAATAGGTATATATTCATGTTCATGTGACATGTTATACTACATTTGTCCTATATATTTATTAGCTAATCTTAATATTAATTACGTGTCACGTTGTTTGTCCGCTATGGACTCCTAAACTACCGAACCGATATCACTCAAATTTGCACATCGTGTGCAGTTTGATCTAACTTAAATGATAGGATAGCTTCAATCTTAATTTATACCCGCAATATTATTTTATTACAAATATTTCTTTATTATTTGATACAATTCTAACAGATGGCGCTGTGTTAAAAGTCCCAACGTTTCACATAAGCTACAATTTAATGGCATTACCACCAAAAAAGCAAGGTGGGCCCCATGACTGGTGTTCTCCTGCCGTTTCCCTTAAATAGTTTACTACTATGTAATAGTACCAAAACCTTAGCCATAGCAACGCTTGGCCGGTCTGCTAGTAAATATATAAATTAAGGCTACATTACAGCCAAGTTAATGAATAAAACTATTTATACTTTTTGTGGACACTTAACAATTGGTTTTCTTACTTTATCATTAGCTGTTTACTGTAAGCAATGAAATAATGTGCTAATATAATATGATTTAACAGCTCTTTGTTCCACTCTATACTCAACAACTACAGAAGGTATTCATAATTTTATTGCTCATTGCATAAGTGACAATAAACAGAAAAGAACATAAAGTTACAACCACGAATTGTGTATTTTCCTAAGACGGCGGAGAAAGTTAGCACGTCCATAAATAGATAATAAATGTTTTCCTTCAAAGTAAGTCTGTAGAAAAATATTACAAATATTTTCGAATAATAAAAACTTATGATTTAAGTTTATACCTACTACGGCATTGAGACAAACATCTGAAATTCATATAATAATTAATTTATGGTTGGCTACTTACATAGGTATACGCCATAGGAATGAAATGTTAGGTGTTATTGTCAATTGTCCCGTGTAAACGAATTTGAATGGGAATGACATTAGCTGTAGCTTTGTCATGTGACAATTTTCTTACAAATTCCTTTGGCGTTAGTGGGTCACGCCTGTTGAAAAATGATTTTGTCTCAAGCCCCTAGACGTCAAAAAACGACGTCAACTTGGCGGGAAAACATGGCAGTCGAAAGGTTCTCATTTCAAATATGTCGTCATTTGTTTTTTAATAAAACTAAGCCCTAGCCCTAGCTAACTTTTAAAACAAGTTTGTTTGAATATAGGCAAGAGAAGAACTGGCTTCATACGAGCCATGGGGTCGAGCTGGTGGAGGCGCCCCCAATGTTCAGGGAAATCGCTTTTCCGATATTCGCGCCGCAGGTATCTACCCAGACGATGAACTAAAGGTAAAGAAGACCTTTTACAATTTTCAACGTCATAATTTCATGTTATGTTTTTTATGGTTCATGTTTTAGAATATAATGTAGTCTGCTACTTATTTTTTTACGCCTACAAAATATTTTGGCGCAAATAAGACCAGCCATTGAAAGGGCTCAAGGATTTACAATGAAAATATATAATGATAGAAAATACTTTTTCTGTAAAATATAATGGAACAAAAACGTCAACCATTCGAAAATTTTCTCAAACTTAAATATTAAAAATATTGTATGCTTTAATCAAATGTTTCTTTTTGTTCTAATATTTTATATTAGCACAGCTGGACATTTGTTTTTTAGAATATTTTGGAAAAAATATATCATAATCATGACTTAATGTATCATTCTAACGGTTAAAGAATTTCTGACATCGTTGCAGTACTTGAATTTCTTTATAAACTTACAAAGTCTTTCTAGTTCAATGTTACTGTTGATCTAAGCATACACATGTTGTCTTCAATAAAATACGTTATTTAAATGTACTATAATGGTGGCCATTCACGGGCGATCCATATGGCTTTCGCGCCACGGGCTCGATACTCGACGTCGCGCCGAGCCAAATTCATGCCATTCACGAACGCGCCAGCGAGCCGTTCCATTTGATCATTTTGAGTGTAGGCGTCGAGATGAGTTTTATTTATCTACCATAGCGATTTGTCTAGTTTTAAAAAAAAGAAAGTGGTGTATGGATTGGTTGCTGAAAAGATCGCAACTCACTCACATAAATTTAATGAAGGAGTTGACTTTTTTTTCTAAACTTATAAATAAATTGAATATCAAAGTCACGGTATGAACTCATTGCGAAAACGATTTATATTAAAAATGCGTCATGTGCTTCCCGTCCTACGGCTAAACGCAAACTAAAATCAAAATGGCGTGTTTGGCTCGCGAGTAACACCATTCACGAGCGAGCAAACCGTATGGCACGACGGCTCAGACCGACCGGACCGTTGGTTTACCGCATTCACAAGCGCGCCACCTGCGTATGCGCGCTGCGCCAATTGACTCGGCGCGATGGACTTTCGCGCAGTTGGAATTGCGCCGAGCCAATCCATTTGGACCGACAGTGTTTTCACATTCATGGACGAATTTTGGATCGACAGCGTGCCAAATGTATCGATGGATCGCCCGTGAATGGCCGCCATAAGGCAAATAACTATCATTCTTGACACTAGAATAAATCCATAAAAACGGCTGAAGTGCGGCAACATAACAGTGGCAAGGCTTTTGCCAATTTATCAATTTAAAAGTGAGGTTGTTTATTACAAAACTAGAGATTTTGTGTTAATTTAAGACATAGCTTACTCTTAATCTTTAAAGTATGTAAAGTTAAGTATGGCTTTATAGAAACTCCCTCAAAAACGTATTGGATTTTGACATTCAAAAGTCATAGTTCGCGCCAAGCCTCGTTTTTGAATTTTATTAGTATCAACTTAGGCGAATTAAAATCTCTAAATTAAATATGTTTGGTAGCAAATTAACTTGCAAACTTTAGTATATAAAAATTAGATATATATTTCTGATACATACCTAAATAGAACTAAACCTTTTGATTTACTGAAACTAGTGTAGTGAATATATGTGCAAGTGCGGTATCTCGCACACACGAACATAGTGTCAAAACATTATAGAACACTAAGACTGTTAATTAACATTGCCTTAGTTTAAGCTATTCACTAGTATTGTAAAAAATTAAGTCAATATAATATTACTTTTTATCAATTTTTTTTAAACAAAATTTGTAGAGAATTTTGTATTCTACAATATTGATAATGAATACAAATAGCAAAAAACCCATAGGAAATGAGATATTTACAAAAAAACCGCAAAAACCCGATTGTTACTTAATTTTATGATTTAATTTTGATTTGTGAAATTTTGTGATTTAATAGTTGCGTACACCCTACTATATGTAGGTTTTGAGACAACTTTTAGGGTGTCAATATACAAGTATTTACAGACTTACAGCTGGGTATCTCGAATTCCGAGGTGAACTCACTATAATGACTGGACTATAAGTCTTGTTCATATTTATAAATTTCCGAGACAGGGAAAAAGGAAGATATGTTAGGAATTTAATGGTCATTAAAATATTAAGTGTCTAAAATTCATACAAATTATAAAAACAAATTCTTCGATAATAAAAAAACGTGGAATTTTAATTTACAATTCGTTATTTGAGATTTCAATAAATTATTTTGCATAAAATACAATCAATCTCTCAATCGGTCTCAATAGCTCTCTCCCTTTTCTTCGACAAAAACGCTGCACATCTTCGTGACGCTAATATTATTATTATTGCGTTTCATCCGTAAAAATTATATACTTCATGCGTATTATTTATTATCGTGTAAACTATTCATAATTAATCATAATTCCAATAGCGACATTGAGCAGTCACGTATTGTAAGAGACAAAGAATGCAATATGCTATAAAAGGTAAAGGGTCATGTGATGTAAGCTTGATTAAATTGTGCTAATAACCCAGGTATAAGTATGGAAGCGTGTGTTGTTTTAAATTTATTACGTCGCAGATTCATTTTCGACACACTTGATTTCTTATTTCGTAATCGTGTCGCAGAATTTTCGATGTTACGTTAATCAGACTGCTCATCTAGAATTTATTAATTTCATCTTTCACGGCCATTTTTTATTTCTAAATCGTGTGATGTAAAAGGAAAATATTGCAGTGTTTTTACTAATTTTATTTAAATATTTTAAATATCAAAGTATTTATTTCCTAGAAACAATTAATATACAATATTTACAATATTCTTAACCTTATAGTATTAATACTAAATATTAAAAATGGACATTTCCTGGCTGTTAATTTTATTATGGCGCGTCTAAACGGGCCATGTTTTGCTGCAATTGATGGCTGCACTGTTGGCCACTAATTGCCCGGCCATTACAAAAATATTTTAATGCAGCTGATGGCCGAACAATCTATGGCTGGGCAATGTGTTGCAATATGTCTGCAATAGTATGGCCCATGATGCAGACTCCTAAACGGGCTACACAAACCGGCAACAATGGCTGACGAAATCACACTTGTCGCAGCAGCTTATATTGTTTTAAAAAAGAAACAGAAAAATAAGAGATTGTGGATTCGACCTTACTTAAATAGGCGTGAATCTGTAGACAATTTGCGTCTAGAAATAAGTCTTGATAATAAATTATTCAAGAACTAGAATGTCAAAAGCAGTAATTTTACGTAGTAATCTAACGTCAAATACAGCTGATCGCAAAACACAGAATATAGCAACAGGCACACTTCACTCATAGCAAACGTCATGTCGCGTAGAAAAGGATACACTGTGCCATAACAAAGAGAGTGACTGAAACAACGAGAGAACTGGCTGTGCAATATTGCAGTTGAATTCGATAGCCTAGCGATCGTCCGGCCACCCATCGGGGCAACATCGGCCATATGTGGCTATACAAAACATGTTTGGCTTTATGGCCGGGACATTACTGCAATATTGCATAGTGTGGCTGCTATTGTTTGCAATGTTGCCGGCCACAGTGTTGCAGCCATCAATTGCAGCAAAACATGGCCCGTTTAGACGCGCCATTAAAACATTGACTTTAAAAACCTACTATCAATTTGGTATAGGTAGATGACTTTATTTCAATTCATCATAATAACTTCATTTTGTACGTGTACTTATGTAACTTGTGTGTAGAGCCCTCAAATGAGTAGTTTTACCGACCCATGGCACAGTGGGTTATCGCTTGGTAAAATACCAAAGGTCCTGATTTCCGGTTCCGGAAAAATACTCTATAAAAAGCTCCATTACCGCGTCACGCCTTATGATAGGCGTATCATAAAAAATAGTGTCTTTAAACTTGTCTCTACTAACTTGATTTTATTAACATTCTTTGTATTCATTTTAAGCTGCTAATTCCAGGGTATTTCTCTACACGAGACATGCCAACGGTGGTCATCACCACAAAGACGGCAGCGTCGTGCACACTTACGTCTTCACGAGGACCCTCAACTTTGCTACGCCGAAATCCTGAGACGATCAGTAGAAAATGACATCAGATACAGACAAACACCGGAACAACAGCAAGCCTATAAACAAATGCTAGGTCGCTTTCTATTACCACTAACTATACAAATACCCACCTCGCTAGACGTCATTTAACTAACGCACATTCCAAGATGGCTATCGACTAGAGATTCGGAATCTTGTTGGAAATAGACAGCTTTTTTATAGTTTGAAATGCCTATAACGGTCCATTATGATTTTGGAATGCGTAATTCTGTAGATTGTTCATAAGTGTCCATAGCAGAGGAACACTCTCTTGTCCGTGTATTAAATGATGTCAATACAAATGTATATTCAACGTACTTCATGTACAAATACTAGGCGATAAAAGAGTGATTAGGGTATCTACCCTTATTTAAAGCGACATCTAAACAAAATATCAATACTATTACTACACTCATTTTCGTACTTATACTATAAATGATTAATTTTTTTATTTATTAACGACGTGCTTTATAAACCCAGAGTTTTATTTCGACTCTGCGTTTGAAAAGCACTAAGTACATTATTTAAATGAAAATTATTTTTCTAACGCAATAATATTTTATGACGTTAACTTTTAACACTACATTATATAGGACATAGTACAAAAAGTTACTACTGTTAGTTATTACTGTCACAATTACTTTGGTAGAAACACGAACATCTCTATGGCATATTTAAATTTTAAGTTATCTGTGGCACCATCCAACCCACCGAATACGGTTGGCGCCATTCATGTTCAATTTGAAGGAAATTAATTTTCTTGCTTTTTAAGATTTTGCTTTAATTTACAGATGAATTAGTTAACGAAAGACAAAAAGTTATTAAAGATGAGATCAGAAAGAATTTGGAATATGAACGCAAAATGGTAAAAACTTATACGGAAATTTCCATTGAATTATCTAAACAATTATCTCTTATGATTGTTTGGTTTTAGCACTCAATCGAAGGACCTTGGGGCAAGCCAGGTCCAGGTGGCACGATTTGGAGGAATCCACGTAATATTGGATTAAACTTTTCAAAGTCCATGGTATGTATAACTTCTTTTTATATATTTATTTAGGCGAGTTTCATATATTTAAGATATATGGTTTATTATTATTTCTCTTGCTATACTATGATTACGAGTTGATTGAGGTGTTGATTGTCAATGCAGCGACAGTCGAAGGCAACTTATATATATGTTCTTTTATTCATCGAAAAGTGCATAAATTATTATTTTATATGAATTCTAGAAAAAGTAAGTACTTACTACGTACTACTACATTGTAATACTCTTATTTTGTAAAATATCTCTATGGATCGTAAAAGATAATGTGTTTTGTAAGTACTGGTTAATAAGTGTTTATTAAACATTTGCATACTCTATGAAACTACAACAATCAATTTCTACATCCTACAATCTAAGAGAAAATACTCTTGCCCTAATGCCCAATATTTTTTCTGACTATGAACTTAAGCTTACTTTACTTAAAGTTCCATTATCATAAATTACAGGGCTGGACAGATAACGAAATATTCAACGACATGAAAGGAGACCATAGACGCCTAAAAAGATCTTCACTTACTTTGCCAAACGTAAAGAGAGCTGATGATTATAAAAAACTGACATCTAAAGAGCAAAGTGACAAGTTGCCAAATATCAATCTGTCAAATCGTTCCCAAGAGGAACGAATTGAGCGGGAAAAGGAGCTAATACAATGCTATGGTAAAAAGAAAAAGAAATTAGTGAAAAGACTACCAAACGTCGATCGGTTACCGAGAGCTGAGGATAAAAATGTGAAGTTGACACCTGAAGAAACAATTTTGCGTTTGACCGGTGGCATAGAATTAGTGCCGCTTTTGGCGCGACGAAGACGAGTGGGCGCCCGAACTCTGCCCTCGAGTGACGTCACGCGACCTCCGGAGGAGAAATGCCAGTGAGTTTTACTTTAGTACTGCGGATGTTGCCTACATTGATATAATATGATATTTATCTTAGCATTTTAATGGTTATATATAACCTATATATATATATACACACATATATATATTTATAAGTGGTTATGCATTTGATTTTGCTGTAATTAAGAAGTATATACATATATCATATTTATTAACATTTTTATACGTAAAAAAGAATTTTAAATTTTTTTAAAAATTACATACTACAATGATCGGTCTTATAAGACAGACAAAATCCATATTGGCTTTAAATATTCAAAGTAAATATGTATTGATAATTTTAAGAACCCGTCAAAACCCTACTCTAGGTAAGATGGCGTCGCACCATGCTCTATGACGTACCATGCCTAAACCTGTAAACCCACGTCAAGTGTTTTACGGATAATTCTTAATTAATACTATAATAATTATTATAATATACATATATGTATTATATTTTGATATAAAACAGTATCAGCTGAAATTGCCTAAACTCCACGACAGTATTAGAATTAAACAGCCGAAGACATATTATTTACAATCATGCTACGATTCGATTTGGCGAATCTGTGAACATTCTGTGTCACATGACTGACGTATAAAAATCATTATTTAAAAAAAAAATTGTCTTTGATTGATTATTATTTCCAACACACAAATATTTAGTATTTACAATATTCTTAACCTTATGTAGGTAATAATAATAATAATTAAAAATAGATAAAATTAAAACAAATTTTAAAAGTTTGGTCCTTGTGGCCAGTGTACCTTTATTGCTGGCAGCATTTCCTCGCTGTATTGCGATACTTATACGTTGAGCGAGGAAACCACCTGCTCTAGAGTCACAGGTACTATCCACCAAGCGCCTACTTAAATCTTTAATTTTAGTTTATTTGATAAATTATTAATACAATAATGTTATTGTATTAATCCTAAATAGCCCATTGAGGTTGTTAGTTATCCTTGTCTTTAAAATAATTTCTTAGTTTTAGTTAAAACCTGGACCGCTATTGCCATGATGTCACCGCTTTCGTCAATATAATCCTATTCTCAGATATGAAATTACGCAAGAATTTTAGAAATTAATAGCTTATAAAGACATAAGTTTTCGTTAATTAAAATTCAGTATACAAACACCATGTAACATTTGACATTAAAGCGAGCCATAGCTAGAGGCTTTATTTGTAAATATGTCTGCAAGATGCATTTGTATACAGCATTGACCCATTTAATTAATCAAAATTATGCTATTTTTTGATTGACCTAGTAAATGACCCTCAACCCAGAGGTCGTGTGTTCGACGGCTATGCACCGACTTTTCTAAGCATTTCTACAGTGAAGCAATTGTGAAGAAACCAGAATATCTCATACTCAAGCGTCGACAGGCTGATCACCAATTGTCCAATCGAAAATGCCATTTGAAGCGATTTTATACACTTTTTTATACACTTCTGGATTTTTTATTATCATTATACCCTGTACCACAGTGGTAATGTTGAATTAAAAATCATATTATCTATACTTTAAATAATGTGTTTTTTTATTTAGCCAGGCATTTGTCTGTCTAAGTCGCGCCAGGTTTTAAAGTCTTAATAATTAAACCTTTTTATTCATATAAACTAAAGAGTTAGTTATTTAACTGAAGGTAAAGAAAGGAATATGGAGTGTCTTTTGCTAATGAGATTCAAAACAATTAGACTAGAGAATTATATCTAGGCCGCATTAAAATTGAATACCTCCTATAAAAATACCTAGTGCTTTGTCAAGTGCGTACAAAATAATTTTTAAAGTCTTAAAGAAAAAAAACTCAACAGCCATTTAAAAAAACTTTGGCGCTACAACCTTTTAGGTCTGAACGTCAGATTTCAGTATCTGTTTCGTGATTCATTTATTCTTCTGATAGACGTGAAGGTGATCGATCAGCTTTCTGTGCCTGACGTATGTCAAGTTTTTGGGTATAAGGTATGCCGCTTTCCTCACGATGTTTTCCTTCACCGTACGAGCGAGTTAAAAGCACATATACAAAGTACATTGGTGCACAACCGGGAATTCAACGAAAAGCCGAAAGCTGAAATTATATTAATTATATCACACACATATAATATAATATATAATTTCAACACAGATGGCGTGAAATATCGACGGATGATTATTTGAGGCAATTAAAGCAACAAATGCGAGTGAAATGTTTACAGAAGGAAGTAAGTATTCACTTAAAATAAAAATATTAGGCCCTTACATATGAAATTGGCGTTTTGTATGGTAGGAACAAATAGTAGATTTTTGATATAGAATTTATTTAATTAATATAAACATATATCACATAGTATGTACCTTTTCTATCTTAGTGTGCAGTTGCAGTGCAGTACTTCTTGTGCAGTTTTGCTATCTTATAGTTCATTGATCCCTTTACTAAAAGACCGTTCGGACTGGAATTAATAAAATTTTTGAAGGCGGTTTCGACTGCCCCATCAGAGAATTTTTTACCTTGCAAGAAGTTATCGAAATTTCCAAAAGAAATGTGATCTGTTGGGTCAAGCTCCGGGGAGTACGGTGGATATCAAAACGTCGTTTCATATGTAAGGACCTATATTTAAAAAAAATATGATTTTTTTTAAAGCAAAAACTTATTTTTATAGTATTATTAATCATTTCTTTAAATTTGAACTGAAAGGTTATTTATATATAATTTATCTTATTTTTCCCGTGTCCAATGTCTCACATATTTTTTGTTCTTATTGTAACGACTACAGTAGCAAAATCGTAACTCGTACGCTAAATAACTTGGGTCTCTTATGTCACCCTAAAGCCCTCATTCTTATGCAACTATGGTCTGCTGTAGGAGAATCGACGTAACTCAGCGGAGAGCGTGAAACAGCATCATGCTACTTGGGCATCTCTATGGGGCCGTCCGGGGCATGGGGCACCCCAACAGCGCGGTAGATATGCGCGGAGCAACCTTGCTCAATTGCTGTATGTCGCACCCTTCAATGACTACATAGAAAACGTATAAATAGCGTATCAGCTCCTGATTAAGACGGGTAAGTTTTTGTATACTTACTTAAATTTAGTATAAACAAAATCAAAAATGGCCACGTAGACGCGAAAAGATAGGCTGGTGTAATTTAATAAATGAATAGATTAGAAAAACTAATAATGAAAAAATAAAGAATCTGAATTAAATTATAAAAAATCTTATCTTTAATTATCGCTGCATTATAAAAAAATATTCTTGTATTTTGCTTATTGAGCTTTCTATTTGTCTATAATAAGGTTGTTATTGACGACTCTCTCCATAATTTCAACGTGTAACTTGGATTATCAAGACTATTTTTAACAATATTACCTAATGACAGATTTTGAGTTACCTTTGCTTGTTAGAGTATAATAATGATAGAAGATTTTGATGACTTCACCCTATATTATAAACATTATATAGCTATAGAAAAAACGATTTCACATTATAGCTGCAATAGTTCATGCGATATTAACTATTACATGGCATGAAAGGATCGGTCTGATTCAATCATACGAATTGAATATGAATTAAAATACATATAATACGAGTATGAAGCTTCTTGACTTAAAATCTTTCACTAAATTTATGACAAAAACACACAACTTCAAATAAAGTTCACATAATTTCAACGAACTTCGAGTATGTTTTATTTGGAGCCTCATTAGTTCTCTTCTAATGAAATTGGATGCTGCATGCCGAAGCTACTAATAAAAAATAATGATCTAACGTAACTGCATATTCTGTCCATATCGTTTGTCGATTACGAATCTAACTCGCACTGCTCAGCTTTTGATCGATTACGAACACAGTACAGCATGAAAGTATTGTCATATGATGCAACTTTATCATGAGAAACAGTAAATTTTTCGATAGAAAAAGTAAATGCTCCGTATTTAGAATTAAACGTGGATGTGTAGTAGTATGTGCCAAATATATGGGATCTGTGTTCGTGTTGTCAGTTACTGACATATACGAATATTTGACAACACTATCGAATTGTTTGTGTTGAGGCGATTCTAGATCGCATACAGAATAGCCCTGATTTTGAAATGAAAATAGCAGTGCTGCTATTATTATTTCAAATGATTTTGAAATAAAAATAGCAGTGCGTGGTCAAAATAGACTATAATAAAATAATAGTTTATTATTAGGATAATTACCGATTCTTGTAAGTTTTGTAATAGAGACGTTTTTTGTTTGGAAATTAGTTCATTAACTTTAAAAAATGAACACGAGTTTCTTGACGCCTATAAAATAAATTAGCTTAGTGTTAAGCTTTGATAGTCCCTATTGATATATATTAAATTTATTGATTAAAAAAACATGTATTAACTTAGCAAATTACAAACAAATCATTTCTTCGCGGTTTTATTGGCGTAATATATCTCTCATCTAGGCAGAAAGTTGTTGCAATAAAGGTTATATTTAAATTGGAGAAATAATATGGTTATATATTAATAATACTGTATTATATTTAAAAACATTCTTTTGTCTCTAGGTGTGTTAAATTTTATTTAATTCAGTATATTCTATTATCGTCACCTTCATATCTATAAAAATATTTTATTTAATTAAATCTAGCTTAATTCCCACATATCTTGTAAGTTCAATGACCAGTCCATGCACCTGCGCTCATTATAGAACAATGTAATCAAAATACAGTGTACAAAATCAATCATCTATTGTTATAAAGGCCATACACAAAGATTTGATGTAACCTCATCGTTGCACATTGTTATTATACCCTTGACACGTGTAGATGGTCAAAATAAAAGCAAAATAGTTGTCAATTCTATACATAGAGTTGTTCCTACTTCAAATTTCTTATTAAAGATCTATATTTGAAGTATGTTTTTTATTTCGCTTTTATTAGCGCTTCTCCATAAATTGACTTTCCTCACAAAAATATGTATTTAGAAGTACAGATCCTGAGATTTAGCGCGATCAAACAAATTCTTCAACTTTAAAATATGTGTATGGATTTGTTTTGGAAGACGTAGGTATATCTCGATTATTTGACATCAACCAAAATAAAGAATAAAAAAATTCTTTTTATCTCGGATTATTCTAAGCAACAGGTTGTGAAATCTGCAAACACACAACCGAACCTACAATGTCTACATGTCGATAGTTCATAGTGAAATTTTTTTAAGTAAACAGAAGTGCGTAAGAATATGTAAATGTAGAGAAAGCGAAATGACGAAATACACATAACCGGCAAAAAGTCGACGCAGAAGGCGTGGCGACAATTTAATCATTTGTCAGGGTGTCACAAAGTATTTAATTCATGATTCATTGCGTTATGCAATTTATTATTTAATACCATCGAAACCGATTTTTCATGGTGTGCTACTTCAGAAGTGTCTATTCATATTAGCCATATAAAGCATCTTACGAAATGCTAAATTTAAACCTTTTTTGGTTAAAACTAAGCAAAAAAAAATTAAATTTAAAGAGAGGATATAAGCTTTTACATCCCAGAGCATTTTATCGCTAATTTAAATGCCCCTAAAGGCATGTGCCTACACGGTAAAAAATACGGTGTTTTGTTTTGTTGAGGTATTGCGGGTAAATAAAAACATGTCTTATTTTTTATGAATGTACCATAAAACTGACCTAATGATATATTATTCAGGACAATATTGTAAAAATACACAGTTGTCTTAAATAAATAAATTTAATTGATTTGTAATTCTTTCTTTAAATATTAGAAGTAAAAATTAAAAATATTTATGGAACGGTATATTCTTGGAATGACAATGGAATGAGATATTTGAATATATATCATAGACAAAACATGACTCGATTACTACCTTAAACTCAAAGTCAGGTAAGTGTTTTGTATTTTGACATGATAATAATTAGGTACCTTAATCAGTTTTCGAAACCTTTAGTACAAGATCACGAAACCCATCTCGTAATTAAAGCGTCATGTTTGACCCCTGTTAACCCAATCATATTGAGTGACAAACTAGTTGGTCATTGTTCATATTACAAAGGTAACAAGAACTCTCTAATATTTCCAACTGATTAATAGCTTTATTATGCTCACAAAAGGACAAACATCCTGATACTAAAATTCAGTAGATAACAATATTTATTTTTGGAGAACTTCTGAACTCTATTAGCTAAAGTTAGAGCTTTTAAATTTGTAATCTAAAATATTACAAAATTTTAAAATGCTGTATTTTTTAAAATGGATTTGTTATAACCGTATTACATTAACTTGTATTTAGACCTTTTTTGTCACTTCGTTTAAGTAAATTTTTTTTTCGATATCTTCGTAATTTCGTGCCCCCATAAAGAAAGTCCTGTTTGTATTATCTTTCACCCTTCCATTTCAAGGAATTTTTGCGGAATCTAAAAATGTTAAATCATAAGAAACTATTTGAGCTTCCGCAACCCTTCCTGCCGTTTACAAATACTTTGTAGCCCAGGTGCGTTTTGTATTACGAAAGAAAACAATTTTTATTTCCTACAAAGTACATACACATATTTTAAATAATTTTACCTTTTAACACCAAGACGCGGATAAAAATCAAATAAAGCAGGTGAAATATAACTTTGACATTTCACTTCCCAAGATTCATTCACCAGACTCTCAAGTTTATGGAAAAGAAAGTACATAGACCTCTGGGAGAGTAGACCGGTTACCGCTTTGACCTTAGCACCGCCTTTGTAATACTAGCTATGATACAATACCAAGTTTATGAAAGCATTGTTAATTTTAAAAATAATGTAATGTACTAGTTTAAATTATAATTGTATTATTTAATCATTTTACAAGCTTCATTATATATTATTTCTATTAACGTAAAACTCTAATGAAATTATCAGTAACAAAACTTTAATTAAATACCTTCTATTGTATTTTTAAAATATGATAAGTCTATTTTTTAGAGAAATATTAAAAAAATCAGTTTCCAACGCTTATTTATACTAAAGATTTATCAAAATTCATAAAATAAAACAATTAAACATTATGCTTGAATGAATGAAACAGTATAATTACTATTTAATTATAATTTAATTTCATATTGAACGTAGCAGAGTGCGTTGAATTCTTTTGTACGTGAAAGTTGTCGATAAAGCTTTACATAAAATAGTAGCTGGTCATTGATTTGACAGTTGATTTAAAAAAAAATTAATAAATAATTTATATAAAAATATTTAATGAAAATGTTTCAACTTTGATAAAAACTATATAAACTTTACTGTACCTGGTTTCTTCATAGCTTAAACTATATTTACTATACTATTAAGCCTCCATCAATTAAAACATCACATTATAAAGCTTAAAATTTTTAATTTTAGATTGATGATGTTTTTATACACAGTTACAGACTTGCAAAAAATATATTGTAAAATCCAAGTCTATGCTCTTTATTTTTTAAAAACCATAAAAATGGCATATAAATAAAAATACTCACTTCCATATAATTTGATCAATCGCTGACTAAAATTGCTACAAAGCCCTTGAAAAAAAGCAAAGCTAAAGCAAAAAATTCTCATTTATAAAGTAAAACGTTTTATTTAAACTTTAAAAACTCGTGTAAACCAGAGACAATATAATTATTGTCGTTTAATACCAAAATAACGATTGACCTATACAATGGCAACAAGATATTGCGCTATGTATTTCAATAAATTCATTCATGTTAAGAAACAGTATCGATTCTAAAGTATTCAATGTATTGCCCGTGCCAAATGTTACCGACAAGAATTTATTACGTAGCTTTCTCTAGATATTCTTCTGATAAATTCTTAGTACTTGATATTCGATACGATAATTGAATACTTGATACAATTCAAATATACATAATCTTTTATAAATAATTTCAAAACACGTCTAAAAATATTACTTTTACGTAAGTTAGTAATAATTTATTTTCTTATTTTTTTACCCAAATTTAAAGTGAGAATATTTTTTAGAAAATCAATCATAAGATCTTTAAAAGAATTTAGGCAATTTTCACTCCGATAAGAGTAAGTGT